CACCAGGGTAGAGTCCTAATGCGGGCATTAGTGGCTTTGTATGAAACAAGCCTGAGCAGGTGCAGGCTCTTTCTATCTGGCCCTGTGACATTCTACAATGTTATAATGCATCAGGAAGCCCTCAGCAGTTGATGACACCCACCAAGGGTGGGGAGTCAAAGGAAGAGCAGTTCTCAACCTTCCTAATGCTGTAACCCTTTAATGCATTTCCTCATGTTGTAATGACCCAAATCATAACATTATTTTGTTGCCACTTTATAACTGTAATTTCGCTGCTGTTGTGAATCATAATGTAAATATCTGATATGTGAACCCCCCCTCCCAAAGGGGTTGTGACCCACAGGTTGAGAACCACTGGTCTAGTACAATGAACTAAGTATACTTTTATTCTCAGTTGCAGATGATTCATTATAGCAACAGAAAACAAAGCAACTAAACAGCACTAAGTGGGTTATGACATACTGGTATATCCTATGTTTTAGTACAGTTTCTTTGTTATCAATATTCCAAACCTCATAAGCTCATTTCTGTCTAAAGCCCCGGCTTTAGAATCAGAAGAGCCCATGGAGTGGGCACCACTTCCTTCTCCCAGGGTGAGGTGGTGGCTGTGAAAGCACCGTCCTGTGCCCTACAAGTGTGTAGCCTCGAGGGCAGGAGATGGAGCGAGGGACTGCGGTTAAACTGAAGCCAAGCTAGGCTCCTTGCTCTTCTTGCTCGCTTCTTTCTATAGCAAACGAAAAGCAATAACGTTAATCACAAAGGACGCCTTAGGAAGTAAGTAGACTACAATGCTGCAGATGTTTTAATGGCCCAGCAAACTCTTAGGAGTTTAATATTCCCAGCTTGTAGAGCTGCTTAACGAGTTAGTAAAAATAAATAAAATAAATAAATTTGGCCTCTACTATTTCTCTTGCCAAATCAATAAACTTCTGATGCCAATAGCTAGCTCGTGTTTACTAAGCACATCCTACTGGAGTAGAATGTCAGGGCCTGGGAGGTGGGGCTTTGGTTTGTATTGTTTGCTGCTCTATCCATGGCTCCTAGATTTCTGCCTGGCACGAAATAGATACCCAGCATGTATTTTTGAACAAATGGATCCTAATTTAATCATCAAAATCATTCATTTTGATGTGGTTAGAACTGTTATCATTCTCATTTTATAAAGAGATCGATAATTGCATTTCCTGAGATCATACAGCTAAAACATGACACAGGTGGGCTTTGAACTCTTCCCCCCTGTGTACAAATTCCTGAAAATTTGCTATACAAGTTGAATTTAAAAGCTTTCATTAACAACAGAAGAAAACATAATTAAATCGTTGAAGCTCTAAAAACTTATCAAATTAGAATTGAGTTCAAAGAAAAATGTCAACTGATTTAATCTGTAAAATATTTAATTTTTGTGCATGCAAGAAATGCTTGCATCCAGCACTGGGGAGGTAACTGTTGCTCAGTGGCAGAGCGCCTGCGTGAAGAGTCCAAGGCCCTAGGGAGCCGGCTGCTGCTCACTGGCTGAACCCCTGCCTGGAGTGTGCAAGGCCTGGGTGTGACCCCAGCACCAGAAGACAAAACAGCTTGTAGCCACCAGCTGTGCTTGTAGTAAATAGGTCATGACGTTTTTACTTATCGCCACTGGAAAGCATGGATTAAAAGATACCACTGGCAAAAGACAATTCCACATGCCTTTGTTTTTTATTCCCCAAAGAGGAAACTGTAACCAGTCCACAGACACCTGGGAAATTTTCATCCCCTCGTAAAAGTGAAATAACGCCTGTGGTTCAGCTGTCCATTAAAAGATCCCATCAGGTAGTTCTGTTATTGCTCCTTATGTGCCTGAGAGTTTTACCTGTGTGTGTATACCCACAGAGACCAAAAGAGGGCAACAGATCCCCTGGTACTGGAGTTAGCCATTGTGAGAACTGGGTACTGCAAGCAGGTCCTTTGTAGGAGCAGCAAGCACTCTTCATCTGTAATCTCTTCTAATTTCTCACCTAAAGGGTTCAGAAAGGCACAGAAAGGCACAATAACCTTAGCAAAGCACTGAAGACGAAACTTAATAATGAGATTCAGGGAAATTTATTTTCAAAAGGTACCTGTTGATGAAAATGAATACATGCCCCTCCCAGCAGGGTCAGCAGGGGAAAAAGAAGAAAGAGCTGTGGCTCCTACCCTGAAAGAAGCTATCACAGAAGAGTCCTGGGCGGTTGCCCCAAGGATGTGTCTGAAGAAACAACGTAGCAGATGAGACCAAAATCTTTTAAACCTTGGAATGGGTACAGTTGTTCTGCTGAAGCGGCCCGTGGTGGGCATGACAGTGGGTTTCCACTCAGGCCATATGCGTGTATAACTGAATGCAGTGTTGGAACCGAGTCCAGAAAAGGGCAGTGATTACTAATTAGCTAGAGACAGTCCATAAGATGTAGAAACCAAGCAGGTATGGAGGAGAAAGGGCGATTAAAGCACCGAGATCTTCACCTTCCACAATTTGTCCCATTCCTCCCTTTGACAAATAGAGAAATGATGTTTTTAAAAATGGATTAGTTGAGAAGTATGCTTTTGAAATTGTTAAAAGTGACGGCTGTTAAAAATCTAAACTAGAATATGTAATTTTCCAATCAGTGTGGAGGATCAAAGAAAAATTTACTGTTGCAAAGACACAAAACAATAGAAAAAGGGAAGAGGAGTAAACAGCTATTAAAGAATAGAAGAAAATTACATATTATGGGGCTGGATGGATGGATACTTGCTGTGCAAGCCTGGCAATTAGAGTTTCATCTCAGAACTCACAGAAAGGCAGAAGAGCACCGACTCCACAGAGTTGACCTTTGTACTTCACACGCAGGCTACGGCACATGTGTGCCCACATCAGCATCATCATACAAATATATTTTGGCAAAATATAAAATTATTGAGATTGCGTGGATCTGTTAGTGTTGGTCATTGGCAAGTGACGGAATTCTAACTCGGAGCAACTTGAACAAAAGCGGCGATTTTCTGATTGGCTTAGCAGAGGAGGGAAAGATAGGTAGAGACTAGGCTGGGGCTCAGTGAGACGAGACTGGATGCCTCAAGAATGCCTAGCCCATCTCTCTCAGCCTAAGTACTAAATTTATTTGATCCAATCTGCTGCTTTTTGTGCCCACTGCTGGAGCCAGGCACCTCCCTTGGCTGATAGCCAGGATCATGGATAGCACGGAAGCGCTCACAGAGAAAGGAAGGAACAGAGGAAGGGTCACCATGTCCCATGAGCATGGGGGTGATTGATGGTTTTCTTAGGAGAACTGAATTCTGCCACTCAAAGAAACAAGTCCAAGACCAGCATGACTCACATAGCAAAAACAGACCAGCCATTTTTATAAATAAGAAGGCCGAAGGTGAAGAAGACACACCAGGTGTGTAATATTAATGTCCTGAGTAGAACACAGGAGAAATGACTTGGGCTGGATCAAGAGGACATTTGATGTTGATGACAAGTATGGGCACAGTGTCACTGACAGCAATGTTGGTAAATAACACTGTGGCGTGACCAATGATATCAAACTGGTTCAGACAGAGAGAGGGGATAGGGTAAATGGAGGGAGAGAAGGAGAGAGAGCAAGCAAGCTAAAAGTTCCAGAACCTCTTGTCTCTGGATTCCCACCCTGACTCTTTTTGTAGCCATGTGACAACTTATTTAATATTTCCACGTGCTAATTTCCTACTCCATAAATTGAGTCAGTAATAGCACTTACCTTGAACTTGTCATATGCATGTGGGGGTGGGGGATAGTGTATGACTTAATTCACTAAAATACCATAATATGGCATCTGGCCGTTGGTAAATGGCCAGTCACATGCTCTATAAGTTATGGGAAGAAGGGGGAAAATTTCGGCTTCATGGGTAGTATTAACACAGTTTTCAGTTTATTAATGCGACATGTCTGCCAAACAACAAAAACTTCCTTAAGTTACAATCTGGAAACTGAGCCTCCGTAGCACACATTCTGAGAGCCTGTGGACAAAGCTAACTTTTTTATGAGCATCCGTGAACACGGATGAAGCCAGCCATGGCTAGACCACAATTCTTGGGATTCAGTCCAAAGAGGAAAGTTCAGAGTTCAAGGAGGTCTCTCGTGTGGGCCTCACCAGTCATCTCGAGGAGTCTCCTGTAACTGTTGGGGGCGAGAGCAAGAACAGGAGATGAACAAGGTACCTATCTTGGTCCTCCATCCCGGACGGTAGAAATGGCCTGGACCGAGGTTAATTGGATGCAGGGGTGAGGAGGTCTTAGACAATGGGCTGTTGTGGGTCAGACTGGCAGAACTTGAGAAATGGAATAGTGTTCATTGAAGATCCGGAGCAGTGGCGCTGCCAAAGACTTGGAGTAGGATAAGTTTGGCTGCAGGGGGTAGAAGTAGGGGGTTTTGCCTCTAATCTATTTGAGATCATGGAAATATTCATTCATTTATACTTTGATACATTTTTTTATTGAAAAAGACTATAGTTTTTTTTGGTTCTTATTTATTTTATTTTTCCATTCAACCCTCTCACTCCCCCAAGCTCTCCCCAGTCTTTTCCTTCTCCCTTCTCTCTCCCCCTCTCGTCTTCTCCCACCGCCACCCCTACCCCCAAGTGGACTCTAGCAATAAACAAAGGACGTTAAGCCTATATAGTTCACAAGCCTAGAGAAGCCAAATAACAAGGTGAACCCAAAGAAAAACATAAATAGATCCTCCCGGAAATTGGAAGCAAACAAGATCACTGGGAAAAAGACTAGTTTTTTTTATTGTGCCTCAGCGACTCTACTGGAACGTGGTTTAGAACGCCATGCTGTGTTTAAACGGTGTCACGACTAAAGGAGAGGGCCTACAGTGTGGAGTGCTGTTGGGGCATATGATGGGGACACCTACTTACCTTCTGAGGGTGGCTGAGGCTGTCAGAGTTTCTATAGGAAGTAGACACTTGTGAAATAACACACAAATGCGATCACTAGTAACAGTCCAAACCTTCCCTTGGTTTCAGGGCTGCTATAGTGTATTCCACGCTCAAGCTTCTCCAGGACTCAAAGGTTTTTAAAAAGAGAATGCCGGAGGACTCAGTGGGTCCCACCTCTTCGGGAACTTCTGTACGTATGCACATAATATCCTTGCAGTGCACATCACAGCACACAGTGTCCCGTAACTAAGGGCACAGCGGGAAGCTGATGAGCTATTGGGGTGAAGCCAAATGGTAAAGGAGAAGTAGCTGCAAGACCGGGGTCTGGGTCAAAGTCCCATTTATGCTCTTTATTGAGAGAGGCCCTTAAATTCTTTTCAAAAGTTTTGTGATCTCCTTTGTGAGCTGTTGAGGGTGGATACAGTCATCACCAAAGGCTCACTTAAATGAGATGTGTGGTTGTGGTGAGTCCTGATGTGGCCCCCACTAGCAGAGTGGGTTCCCAAGACCCACTCTTCCTTCCACCCTTGTGTATTACCTGGGTGTGGCAGCAAGGACACTCATCCTCTCTCCCACCTGGAGTTCCCCACTCTTAGCCGTCCCCATACACGGCTCTCACGTCTGCTGGGCAGCTGGTCACGAGCTGTGTCACTGGGCTGAGTGAGACTGTGTAATTTAACAACAGAAGATTGCTTAGGAATCTGAATAAAAGTATTCATCACGCAGAAGCTTCTAATGAAATCACTCATACTCAGCGAACTAATAACCCAGAATAGATGCCCAGTGCTGTATTTACCATTTTTCATCCCTGAAATGGAGGGTTTTGATAACATAGAAACTGCTGATAATATAATTAAAAACAAAACCAAAACAATTCCCTTGTTGCAAAGCTGTTTTATTAATTAAAATTTTTAGTTTATGTGTATAAGTGTTCATTTGCATATTAAATGCAGCGTGTGTGTGCGTTGCCAACCAAGGGCAGATGAAGTCATTGGATTCTGCTGAAGTTACAGGTGATTGTGAGCTGCCATGTAGCTGCTGGAAACCGAAGCCTGGTCCTCTGCCAGAGCAGCCAGTGCTCTTAACCTCTGAGCCATCTCTGGTTACATGCCAAGTTGTTTTTGCGTAATGGTATAGAGAGAAAAGACAGGTCAAAATGTGATATAATATGTTAATAGAGAGTTATGGAATTTAGGGTGATTTTACTTGTTTCTTTTGCATGTATCATGTTTTCTAGAATGTTCAGGAGCAACTTCTTAATTTACAATGTGATATTGTGGATTGCTTTTGGGTGCTCCTCTCAGTTCTTGCTTAGCCTTAGGCTGGAGTGCTCTCATTATCCAATGGGAAGCTAACCCTGTCGTTTTAATGTTCTTTAGACCACAGAAAGTAAAGATGATAACGAGTTTTTAGACCCCATTTCTCTGAATTCCCGGGAATATTTCAACATCCACCTTTGGCTGAGGTGCCGCTTGATGCTCGTGACTGCGTTTGTTGCACAGATTCGTGGTATCGGAGTCATGAAAGGTATTTTCTTAGCCAATGTCTTCAGTATGGTTCATTTGACATGGGGGACAGACTTGTATGGGGATATGTCTATGAGAATGCTCACAGCCTTCTAGCTTGCTCTCTTTCCAGAATTTAGAATACAGGTTGTAAAACAAAAACAGTGATAATTCATGGTGCTCTGTTCCAGAGCAAACAGCCCATTTGTTACTGATTTAAGTTTTCAAAAAATACAAGGAGATTGCAAAATACATTTGCGCAGCTCTTAGCATAGAGCTGATGAGCCACCTAAGTAGGGTTCCAATGCTGACCTGCCCCCTCCTTGCCAACACCCTCCCCCGACTTTGCTCAGTCTCTCCCATGACTCTTCCCTTTCCTCTTTGGAAGGCAGAGATAACATACGTCCCTGCCTGACTGATGGTGAGAGACGTCATAGTCTTAGATGACAGCCTGGCATCTATAAACAGAGGCTCCCACAGTGACTGATAGCGGTCTAGCTGTGTGCCTACCTATTTGCATGTCTCGATCTACCTTCCAGATGGAGTCATTTCATGTAATAACATTACTTTGATAGCATCAGACTAAACGAAAGCACTTTCACCCAAATGAGAACACTTCCCTGCTCCAGGTTTCATGGAAGCCCATTTGTTTTCCATCTGAATGTCCTCTCCTTCTTTGATCTTTGGGGACTCTATGTGCACACCCTTCTTGCTTTCTCCTGCATCTCGATGCTCGCCCTTGTCTGCCTTAGAGAATGACATGACGGACTGTCTGAGCCTCATCAATGAAGTGTGCACGGAGGCACAAAGTGCAGAGGACACGGAGTGCCTGGCCGAGTTCCTGATGCAAGCCGTGATCCTGGGTCTGCAGGAGAAACACTTAAAGGCAGACATCATCAGAAACCTTCAGGTAACGGAGACAGGGTAGCATACACATGTGTGTTTAGGGAACATCCCAGTTGGATCGAAAGGAGGGGATCCTCAACCCTAATGAATGTGTGTGCACCTGTCACCATGGCCACAGCTCCGCAATGAACTGGAAAACACAAACAGAATTGTGTTTTCTCAATAGGAAATCATCCATTTGCTGGGAGGAAGTGAGTTCCTTTCTCCTCGATCTTGGCTGACTCTGGCAAGAAGCTTCGTTCTAATGGATGACTTAACCAAAGCTGAAAAATTCAAGGAAGGGGCTTCGAAAGAGGACAAATTAATTTTCTTGAATCAAGCACACAACATCCTCATTGCCCAGGTGGGAATGCTTTCAGTGGCCATGAACTTGGGAATGTACTTTTCTATTTTTTCTTCTCCCTCACTGTGACACTGAAGCCACTGTTTCTCTCCTAGATGCTAAATTTTGGAGAGACAATTGAATTCCCTCTCTCAGAAGCTGACTATGCAAATCCACTGCAGCCTTTGAAAAATATCTACCTTCCTCACGTCATGTTACTGGCCAAAATAAAACTGAGAATTGGTAAGAACATTGAAACATCTACCTTCCTAGAGTATCATAGGCATTATTTTGTTTGTTTTGTTTTGTTGGCGGTGGTGTTTTGAGAGAGAGTTTCTCAGTGTAACAGCCCTTAGCTGTCCCAGAAGTAGCTCTTGTAGACCAGGCTGGCCTCGAACTCACAGAGATCTGCCTACCTCTGCCTCACGATTTCTGGGATTAAAGGCATGCTCCACCATTGCCCTGCTACTATAGGTGTTTAAATTGACTTTTCAAGTAGCATATCATAACTTGAAGGATCAGTCTGATGAATGCCCAGGCTCTGCATGCTTAAATAGGTTTGGATTACTTACCACACACTAGATTCTGTGGTACAAGGATGATCTTCGTGTACAGATCAAGTGTGAGGTTGACTGCAGTAGTCATAATATGTGAAGCGTTCTGCTGTGGACTGTTGCATTTTATTCAGCTACCAGTCTCTGTAACAACATTATTCCCACAGTCTACTTTATTGAAAAAAATCATGGACACCCAGAGTGTGGGTGCATTCCTAAATAATAAACCACTTTTTTTTTGTTCTCTAAACCACAACTAGTTATTTTACATTCATGTCAAACTGAGGAAGGTTTTTGGGAGGCGTATAGAACAGTATATTATGTCTTCTGGTTGTCCCTGATGCCGCTAAGTGCCTGTATCTCTAAAAACAATGCCCATGAAAAAGCATTATCTTAATTGTGCAGATGATAATGGCATGATTTGTCCCAAAGCCTAGTAACCTGCATCATTTTAAGCAACAAATTTGTGTCCTGTAAATGTGGGAATTGCCAAAGTCTTTGTGTTCTTGAGAGTCAAGGTGTCTTGAAGATGTAGTTTCCACGTCTCACCACAATGCATGCTAAGTAAGCAGTGGCCCTTCTGCTAAGACCACCTTGAACACCAGGTGCCGTGGTTGTTTTAGGCAGTGTAAAGAAAGGTGCGCAGGTCTGCTGTGCTCTACCGGTTAGCCCCTTTGGGAAACCTCTCTAAACAGCCCGGGTACAAAGCCAGTTGTCCTGTCCTGACGCTGGTAGCAGCTCTCTGTTGTAGTCGGCACCTTCTAGGACCCTTCTGCCTTCTCTACCAGAAGCTGCTCACCAAGAGAATCAGTAGTAGGACTGGACTGGCAAAGGGAGGCCAGCGAGCATATGCTTTCCCAAATTTTCTCCTTATCTCTTTCTCCTCCTTTGATCCTTTCTCAGTAGCATCACTGACGCATGAGTTTCAGTACATACATCCCTCTCCCTTGGAAGTCTCCTATCTGATGGAGTTAGCACAACTAGCTGGCCTCTGAGACTCCTTGCAGCTCAGCCAGTGACCACACACAAGCGATTTCCCCTATATTCTGAGCCCACAGTTTATCTGTATTATTAGGACATTTGAGTTCTGTGTGAGCTCAAAGCACTGCATGTGCAAAAATCAAATCTGCTCTCGGCTTTTCTGACTCACTAATCTTGAAGATCTGTCACCACTCAATGACAATACTGTTGCTTCTTGGTAGACGCACTTGAAGCTGAACAGCTTGCTTTCTGCTATATTATATTAAATACAGCCTTTAAAAACAAAACCACAAGCCGCTTTTCTGTCAAAACAAAGTCAGTTCCACAACAGTTTTTTCTTTCGAGTTGGTGTTTTCTGGGAGAAGGCACATTTCAACATTATGAAGCCCAAACTCTCCCGCAGCTAGCTTCACGACAGTGTCTCTTTATAGTCTAGATTGCATTGCACATTTGGCTACTTCCTCTTTTTATTCTTTGTGATAGCCTCTGAAAGGTAATAGCATGCTTTAAGGTTATATTTATGAAACAGAAGTGGGTGAAATTGTCACCCACTGACCTACAAGACAACCATGTTGTCTGGGTAGTTTCCTGGGACCTTTCCAAGATCTAGACGGACCAGATCTCTCTTCTGCTCCCATAGTGCCCTGCAGTTTTTCTTCCTGTGACCAGCCTCATGATATTTGAACTACTTGCCTTGCTGTTTCTATTCTTAGTTAATCAACAGTACTGTGTTGTAGTTTAGGGTGTGGGCCATGGGGCCAGGCTTAGGTTCAAATCATGATCATGTGACCTTGGGTGTAATGTTGCCCACTCAGAGCTGTGAATCACAGTGCAGTTCATGTGGGGTTCACGAGATGGTACCTGACATGTAGGAACCATTTAACAGTCCTATCTCTTTTTTTCTCATTTATATCTAGTACTCAAACATATAGAAAATATTTTTTGATAAATGTCAGTCTTTGATGCCATATAGAATGGTGTTTCTTCCATTCAGTAATCCTTCCATACGGTCATTAAAGATGAGCGCTCCCATGTAGTGTGGCATGTAGCCCTTGCCTGTAAGGAGCTTTCTTACCCAGTTATGATGACAGATTACGTAATGAGTAACCAGTGCTTGTAATAGAAAAAACTATTAATATATGCAAGTTTATTAATACCAAACAACATACAACTTCCAGATGTTTCTCTCGTAAGGCCTCTTCTTGAATACATGGAGCTGTCTCTGAGTCTTTGCTGGCCTCTGGGACCCTATTCCTCACACTGTGTTGTCATGTCCAGCCTTGATAAAAGGGGAGGTGCTTAGTCTTACTGCAACTTGATATATCATGTTTTGTTGGTACTCATGGGAGGCCTGACTGCCCTTTCTGAAGAGAAAGGAAGGAGTAGATGGGTCGGGGAGGCACAAACCAGAGGTGACGGGGGAGGGACTGAGAGCAGAGGAGGGAGAGGAAACTGGCATCGGGATGTAAAATAATAAATAAATATTAAAATTACTTTGGGAACAAACAAGGAACATGGAGGTTGTTTTAGAAGCACCATGAAAAGTTGAGAACTTTTGGAGACTATTGTTGTTTTAAAAAGAAGACAGCACATTGGAGATTGCTCAGAGCTCAGTTTACTGTTTTAGCTCCCTGACGAATTGGATATGTGGCTCTCTAGAGCATTCTTGCTACCCGGAACTGTGACAACCCATAGCATTACGGTGAGATTAGTCCCTTGTCTTAGTGGCTTGCTCCAATTGCTGAAGGCTTCACTGTTTTGCCCCCACCCAACTGTTTTGCTTTCAGGACACACGTTGTCCAAGCAGGTGTATTCCAGCAGCAAAAAGAAGGACGTCACAAGGTGGTTGCCTGCTCTTCACCTCTTTGAGATGGCCTTGAAGCTCTGCAAGGGGGCAGCTGCCGAGGAGCACGAGGTGGAAGCTGAGATGCTGTTTCAGAAAGGTAGGTGGAGCTTGGCCACAGAACTGTGACAAAGCTAGTGGAGCCGTGGTGTTATTAATAACCAACTTCCTGTTTGTGAAAACAAGAGCTTTGTAAGACACCAGCACTCTCTGTCTCCGCGTCTGAGGAAAGCCTCTCATTAAGTTATAACTAGAAAAAAAGGTACGACTAATTGATATTTTCGTATAAAGCTTAATGTTTGGTTCAAGAAAATGTCAACTTCAGCCACTTGGCCGCACATCATGTGGCTGGAGAGACTACTCAGCAGTTTTCCCACTGCTAAGTGTGTAAAGCTCCTCTAGAGGACCTGAGTCAAGTTCCCAGCACCCACGTTAGGGGAGTCACCACCCGTAACCCCAGCTCCATGGGATCCAGCGAAGTCTTCCGGCCTCTGTGGGTGCCTTCTCTCGTGCTCACATACACCCACACAGATACACGTACACATAATTTAAAAATAAAAATCTAGGCCTAGAGAGATCACTCAGAAGTTGAGATCACTGACTTCTCTTCCAGAGGACTCAGGTTCGATTCCCAGCATGAATACAGCTGCAACTTCAATTTCAGGGGATCCAATGCCCTCCTTTGGCCTTTCAGGTACTAGCCATACACATGATACACAGACATACATGCAGGAAAACTCATCTGTACACATAAAAGAAGATATTAAAAACAGAAATAAATCTTTAAAAACACATACTTGTTAAATAATAATAAGACAAATTGAACTTACTAATTAAAAAATAATTAAATGAGAACAATAAATTAGCATTTTATATTATTTCATTACCTAGTTAGACATTTTGGTTAATTTCTCTAAGTAAGGTATAGCATAAATTAAAATTTAATAACTGTAGAATACCTGCCTTAGAATTTAAAGACAGTGCATTCATGGAAGTTCACCATGGCCATTTTTACCACAGGAAAACCAAAGCATAACAATTATTGTCCTTTACTGATCTATACAAGCAGCATGAGAGTTAGCATCTCACACACCAGGAGCTGTTAAATGAGCATGCCCCGAGGGGAGCTCTGTCGTCCCCACCCCCCCTCCACCCCGCCCTTTCCCTCCTGCTATGCAAAAGCTGTGGATCTTATTCTTGGTGAGGATAGGACTTTGCTTTCCTGGCATTTCTACTGCAGGACAGCTCTCTCAGTTCTTGTGCCAGAAGGATGGAAACCACCATGGTTGCCATGGTTGCTGGGAGCCAAGGGATGGGTAGGCACTAGCATCATTTCTAAGTATTTTCAAGCATTTGCTGTTTTGTTTTTTAAGGATTTATTTTTCATTAAGTTCATTATTTTTTTGTTTGTTTTTTGGCTTTTTGAGACAGGGTGTTTGTACCCCTGGCTGCCCTGGAACTCACTCTATAGATCAGGCTCTCCTACTCATTTGCCTCTGCCTCCCTGAGTGTTGGGATTAAAGGCATGTGCTATCACCTCTTGACTTTTGTTAAACTTATTTTTAAAACTTAAAAGCTTGGCTGGAGAGATGGCTCAGCCATCAAAGGCTAGGCTTATACCAGTATAAATATATAACTTAAAAAATTTGATAAAAATTATATATATTTCAGTACAGTGTAATGCTTTCATATATATATATATATATATATAAAATCAGCACCTCTGTTTCCCATACTTCAGCAACTGGTGCTCCACTTTAGACCTCATGAATGGAGCTTTTTCAGATTCATGAGCTGATGTAAGCAACATCATGCAGTGTTTACCTTCCTGTGCTTAGCTTCTTTTGCTTAACATAGTGTCCCATGTTCATATGTGCAAATGGCAACATTTCTTTCATTTTATGCTAGATAATATTCCTGTGTGTGCATATCACTTTGAAAAAAATCCATTTAACCTCAAAGAGTACTCAGACTTATTCTGTCTTTGTGTTATGAATATTGCTGCAATGAACATAAGGATACAGCTGAGCCTATATATATATATGTATATATTTGTAAAACAGACAAGAGCAAGAGAGAAAGGGATGGTAGAGGAGAGGAATCACAAAGTAAAGGGACAGAGGAAAGGAAGCTGTAATGCCAGTGGTGCTGGGAAGCAAAGGAAAGCATTTCAGACATTCCTGGGGAAGGAAGCGGTAATTCGTTCATCCTCAGCTTCTCTTCCATCAAGGAGTGATGGACAGACAAGCAGAGGACAGCAGGCCAGCTTCCAGGGTTTGTAGAATGAAGCATCTGCGCTTCCGTCATAAATCACAGAAAAGGGGGAACCATGCTCATGCATGTTACTTCTTCTTGCAGGCAGAATAGAGCGTCAAATCCTGAAGGAAGAGAAATCTCCAATTTCTCAAGTAGAGAGTTTTTTCGAAGCTATTCAAATAAGCCTGAAAAATGATCAGAACTCAGGGTAATGGAGACCATTTAATTCTTGTAGAACTTTTCCTGTGTGGTCTGAGCTCTGTGTAGTAGGGCACGCAAGATTCAAGAAAGGTATGAGGGGTTGGGGATGTAGCTCAGTGGTAGAGCGCTTGCCTAGCAAGTGTGAGGCCCTGGGTTCAGTCCTCAGCTTTGGGGGAAAAATACCAAAGTACCAAAGAAAGGGGTGAATGAGAGACCTGGTCACGGCAGGGTTCATGCACTGGGGCTAACCCAGACAGCAGGTTTACCTACCTGCTTCTCAAGCTTGTTGCTTCTGGCTCTGACCTAAGGCGGCCTTTACAGGAAAGTCGGGGGATGCTCCCATCTGTCATAGTGGCCTTCTAGGCTGCCAGCTGGCTCTCACCTAGACCCAGGTCTCCTGTCAATATCAAGACTATGGGGTATTCCTCTGGACTAGTTTACAACTAGAAGAACCTACCATGAATGTTAAAGAGTTTAGAAGGATTTATTTACATGGTCTCTGTAGCCATCCATACTAATAGCCTACTTAAGTCAGTTAAAAAATGACCACAATATTGATGGGAAGCCACTGTTGTTAGGCCAGGACTGAAAGAGACTTCAATTAATGCCTTTAATAGATTATATCTAGATCTGAGCATTACTGCCTTCTGAGGTGGTCTCTGTCTATTTCCATTTCCATTAGTGTAGGAGAGTAGACAGACACCTGTATTCAAGGATGGCTTCTTTTACTATGACTTCTTTAGTGACTGCTTCACTGGAATGTTCCAGAAAGGTCTTGCTAAGCTTTACAGCGGTCATAGCCCAGGATGTTGCCAGCATAAGCCCAGATAGAATGCTGAACTTTCTCAAGAGCTTCTCCTTTCTGAGGAAGATCCTACTAGCTGCAGCCTCAGGATGCATAGGTTAAGAGAAGAACACTTGTCTGTCCTTCCTGTTTACTCTCCCCGACCTTGTTGGCGAAAAGTACAACGAGATCCTCCAAGAGACCACCGAGGCTGAGTGTAATGTCCTTTCATTTTAGGTTGATCAAAGACTCCTACCTAGAAATTGCCCTGGTGTATTTCCATCTGAAGAAGCCAAGGAAGAGAGTGTCAGCGACCCCATCAACACTCAAGGTAACAGCTGTGTTCAGGGGGATCGGAAACCTTTGATCATTTGCAGTGATTCTGCACTGTGGAAATAATGAGGCATTTTCCTAGATGACTTGGAGACATCAGCTCATTACTTTATAGTCATATGTATCACCATTAATAAAAACCCAGAGACAGAAATTGGGATCCAACCCAAAGGTCAGAAAAGCAAAACAGCCAGCTACTGGCTCTTAACGTCTGCCTCAGTCCAAAATGGCGATCCTGCCTCCAGGAATCTCAGAATGAGCCTGAGCCTGTGAGCTGTCTCCTCTTGTTTTATAATCCTCTCTAGGGCAGGGATTAAAGGTGTGCACCACTTTCTATGACAAACTAGCGTGGCTACTGGGATTAAAGGTGTGTGTCCCCACTGCCTGGTCTGTAAGGCTGGCCAGTGTGGCTGTTTTCCTCTCTGAACATCAGGCAAGCTTTGTTCAAATACAAATGAAATAGCCCGACAATCACAGTTGTAGTCACCTCTTGGGAACCTTTTGGTAGAACTCTGGAAATTGATTTCATGTTGGTGTTTCTGCTTGTAAAAATGCTGGTTATGTAAATACACAAAGGCAATGGTTAGGCATGCTCGGGAGAATATAGGAATGGACACACAGTAATGTTGAAGCTAATATGGCCTGTCGGTGTCATTCACATCTTACAGATGTATCAAGCATCGGCTGTGATAAAGGCGATCTTCTAGAAGGTGCTGAGTCAGTGCTGAGACAAGCTGGTGGAGGGAGACAGGCCGTATGGCCGCAGACATGGAAAATCAGAAGGGAGTGAGGGAGAAAGAGGGGCTGAGCAGGGCTCTTAGTAGTGAAACTCACGAGGAAATTATTTGGGCTGCTGGGGTGGCTCGTAAAGGTGGCACTTTGGTGTGATGTCATGATGGGAGGCGTCGGATAAGGCGCGAGTTGTGCAGACTCCCAGGAGGATTCAGTACCCACAGCAGTGCCTGGGAACTAACGTGCAGACACATCTCCCCAAGTCTTGCTGAAGGCAGATAATGACTTGTCACTTAGGAAGTGGACTTGGGGTTTGGGGTTCCCAGCAGCCTCCCAGGTTCGGATGATCTGCATAGGTGCTCTGTAGTACCAAAGATTCTGACCGAGGAAGATCCTGAGGAAAGAAATAAGGCAGGTTGCTTTGAATGACATGATTATTGTTGGGTTGTAGTAAATGTTCATATTTTCCTCACCAAATGATCATTGACCCTGCAAGATCTTTTCAGAAAACAGTGGGATCCAAATGTTAAAAATCCAATCTTAAAAATTTTAGCACTTTTTATCAATTCTTTGTGGATCTCATATCATGTATCTCGATTCCACTCATTTTCCCATCCCTCTGAACCCATCCCCCAAGATTTTTTTTTTAATTTTTGTTTATTTGTTTGTTTTCAGATAAAGTCTCTCCACGTAGCCCTGGGTGTCCTGTAGACCAGGCTGGCCTTGAACTCACAGAGCTCCACCTGCCTCTGCCTCCCAAATGCTGGGATTGAAGGCACACACCACTGCAACTGTTTCAAACCTCTAATTTTTGAGATGTCATAAGCATGACTTAAAGCTTTAGGCAAATATAATTAATTCGTCAATCAAATTATTTATATGCTAGCTGTATTAGGTAGGTATCACCATTTAAAAAATAAAAATGATTATAAGCTAGGACAGGTTGCTCTGGGGGTATGATAAAAATGCTTATTACCAGTTAGAGAAAAGCATGAGTGTGGTTTCTATAGAGAACAGTGCTGGCGTGAATCTCATTACTTTCTCGGCCTGTTCAGGAGACGTGATTGTAATTATGAATGTGAAATAGGGTTTGCAGAAAAAAATGCTATAATTCCATAAAATTTGACATAGCAAATACTTTAACAAAATATAAACTTACTAGAGTCATAGAAAATAGCCCAAAATGAACAAAAACACCCTTCCAGGTATATTTGCACTCTTGAAATACAGCATTTGATGTTTGTCTTAGTAGAAATAACACAAAATCCCTTAAAAATCAGCAGGAACCGGGCCACTGAGCTGGGTCAGTCAGTCAAGGCTCTTGCCACCAAGCCAGACTCCCATGATGCTCCTGGTAGGAGAGGACCAATTAGAGCAAGTAGTCCTGTGGCCTCCTTACATGTGTCCCCGAAATAAGCCAATAAAATGTGATGAAAATAAGCAATAGTATCTTTTCACTCTATGGTGTGCAAACAGGACAGGCTTGGCCTTGGATCTCAGCCTGATGTCCCAGAGTGACTTCCGAAGCCTCGCTTCCCCACCTCTGATACGGAGATGGCTATTCGTATCTTTTAGTGTGGCTAGGAGCGCAAAGTATTGAGCATGATGTATTAGGTACCGTTAGCTTCACGTAACTCAACACAACCTCTGTATTCTTCATTAAGTATTTTATATGTAGTAGATTACCCAATAATTATTAGTTAAGTCTAATGAACTATTTGGAGCATTCATTCATTCATTCACTCGCACGAGGCATGCCTTTCCTGCAGGGTCCAGAGTCTAGCAAGGGAAAGACACCATAGAATGGCACCTTGATAAGGATGCAAACACAGTATGCCAAGGTGGAGATGCCGGACACACTGATTCTCTTTTGTGGGCATACTGTAGAAGACTTCACAGATGAGAAAGTTTAGAAGAGGAATGGGAAAAAGATCAGTTGCAGCAGCTTTCATCTCTACAAATTCTAGACACAGGTCTCCCACTGGATGTACGATGTGCAAATATTCCCCTCCCCCCAGCTGGTGGCTTGTGGTGTTTAGAGACACAGATTTGAGTTGTTATGAAGTTCCAGGATGAGCTTGCCCTTTTTCAGCGATTGTGTTTGGAGTGGCATGCGAAGATCTTTAGAACCCATTGATCTTCGAGCCCACCTTTACGAAGGTTTCGTTCTCTGTCGCTGTAGCTCTGGGTGAGAGCTCGGGTTTCAGAACACATGCCCTCCAACGCCACGATTCATCTTCGGAATTCTTTTGTACTTGCAAACCTTCACATCTTTTTGCACATCTTCCAGTCTGCCTCCCAGTTTTCAAAATGAAAACGGAATTGGATCTTTTGAGGAATTCTGTTGAAGCTACAGTACAATCTGGTGACAGCTTGTCTTAACAATATTACATTATAGTATAGAAATGGAATTGATTTGCACATATTGTTGAGTTTTAAATCCCATGGCCTCACTGACTGTGTTTGTTGATTTTAATAGTGTGCATGTATATGTGTGCACATATGTATATGTGTGTAGATGTGTGTGTGTGTGTCCTGGGATTTCTTGTCTATAGGATCACATCTTTTACAAGTAAATATGTTTTTTTTAATGTTTCTATTTCCAATCATTCCCAGGCTTCTCCTTTTCTTCTCTGGTCTGATCACATGGACTGTGCAATGTTGATACTCCCCCCCCCCCCCCATCTAAAATAGTAAACCCACAATGTTCTTTCTCCAGCCCATTTTTTTAAAAAGTCTATTTTGAGCCCAAGTCCAACCTCCTCAGGAATGTTTTCTTCTCCATTAAAAGTAGCTACTTTCTCCAGTGTTTGCATTGCTAATTGTTCTCACCTTACTCTGGATTCTTCCATTCATGGCTGTCAGTCTTTCTTCCAGATTTGCAGTAAGCAAACTGCTCAGGCTTAGTAGGGTAGTCATTGCTATGCTAAAGCCCACATGGTTCCCAGTAGGGTCTTATCTTGGACATAATGTACAGTTCAGATGCCCACGGGGAAGTCTCTCCTGGTGTCCTTTTCATTTGTGTAGGCTGGCACATCAGATCATTGTACCCCATGACTCAGCGTCCTTAGTATCCAGAACCTTACCCCCTCCCCATGAGTCCTGCAGCCAGAGACAAACCATTGGCACGCTTCATGTTGCTGCATTTAATTCTCTAGTTTGCTTCCAAATTAAAGAAATAATCAAAAAATTAGAACTTAGGGGTCTAATTACTTAATTTTTGTTCGTTTGTTTTTAGAGACAGGACTTCTCTATGTAGCCCTGGCTGTCCTAGAACTCACTCTTTAGACCAGGCTGACATTGAACTCAAGAGATCCACCTGCCTCTACCTCTATGGGGATTAAAGGCCTGTGTCGCCATACGTGGTCTAATTACTTAAAATTTTAAAAATGGACTTAAAATTTATTTACTTCAGTTATCATTAAAAGTATTAGTTACTGTATTTGCTGTATTTATTTTTGTAGCATTAAATTTCTTGGGTCTAAGAATTGAATGTATTTGTATATGTAAAAACTGTCCCTTGTAGTTTCCTTCCTACTGTTACACTGAGTTATGAAATCCCTTTAGCATTTTTCATAATAGTAACCTAATATCCAATCACTGAGTTACTCAGGAGATGGAGACAGGGACTCTTGAGTTTAGGGCCTGCAGGACTTTGAGACCCATGTCAAAACAACAGAAAAACAGGACAAATTTAATTATTATCATTCCTGGTCTGTTTGTCCACAATATATTCAGTGTTAATAACCTTTACTAAAATGGAATTTGACATCAGTTAAAGAGATAATTTTATCAAAGTATTTAATAAATCATGTAAACTCACTATAGAAAAATTAGGAAAAGATAAATATTCTTAAGACTTGGTATAATATTTGCTTACATAGACAGTAATGTATGCACATTTTAAAAAGTAGGATCATACTTGCAATTTTTAAATTTTAAGCCTATAGTTTTCTTTTTTGTTGTTGTTGTTTTTTTGTTTTGTTTTGTTTTTTCGAGACAGGGTTTCTCTGTGGTTTTGGAGCCTGTCCTGGAACTAGCTCTTGTAGACCAGGCTGGTCTCGAACTCACAGAGATCCGCCTGCCTCTGCCTCCCGAGTGCTGGGATTAAAGGCGTGCGCCACCACCGCCCGGCTATAGTTTTCTTTTTGATATACTTTAAATATCTTCTCATGGCAGTAACATGCTGTCCTTTGTGATGGCTCCATATCATTCCATCAGCATGCCATCCAGAGAAGATGAGGTTTGCCATGAGACCCTGAGTCCTCTCTACCCTGAAATGCTCTCTATTTACTATTTTAGCCTTTTTCCAGAAGGCACAGTTCTATTAAAGAACCAATCGCAAGTCGATTTGAGATGTACACCTCACTAGCCTGGATTGCAATCCGAGCTGCTGCGCAGGTTAGTGTGTGCATGTTGACTCTCCCTGTTGTCTGTGTCCCCCACTGTTGGCTCTCCCTGTTGTCTGTGTCCCCCACTGTTGTCTCTCCCTGTTGTCTGTGTCCCCCATTGCTGGCTCTCCCTGCTGTCTGTGTCCCCCACTGTTGGCTCTCCCTGTTGTCTGTGTCCCCCACTGTTCTCTCTCCCTGTTGTCTGTGTCCCCCATTGCTGGCTCTCCCTGCTGTCTGTGTCCCCCACTGTTGGCTCTCCCATTGTCTGTGTCCCCCATTGCTGGCTCTCCCTGTTGTCTGTGTCCCCCACTGTTGTCTCTCCCTGTTGTCTGTGTCCCCCATTGCTGGCTCTCCCTGCTGTCTGTGTCCCCCACTGTTGACTCTCCCATTGTCTGTGTCCCCCACTGTTGACTCCCCCATTGTCTGTGTCCCCCATTGCTGATTCCCCCTGTGCCCTCCACCTATCAGCTTGCATAGCAGCACAATGGATCTGCTTGAGAGAAAGAAGTTACACTTGGTGAGGGATCTTTATCTGCCATGTCATTTTGGAAACTTTACAGGTAGTCTCTACACATGTGTAGCATTTAGAATCTCTAGAAACCAGATACAACTGTTTCCATTGTCCCTTAATGAAATATTGGATATACATGTGTACCTGGCTGACATTTTGGCAAATGCGTTTCACAGCCGGATGATGTAACTCATTTAAAGTGACTTATGCGTTAATTAAATCATCAAAGCTAACCAACTGGTTTGACTGTGCTGCGCATTCCACATGTGAGCAAGGGATCACATGCTCTTTTTTCATATGGTGATCTTTTTCTTCCAATGTATATCAAATATTATTTTATGAATTCATGTCTTCATGTTTATTGTTTATTGTCTCTGTCTATATTGTACTGTATTAGAACAGCAGACATTGGATAATTCATGTTCAGCATGGATCTACCAATTCATAGTTTTTGAGGCTGGTAGGTTCAAGACCAAGGGCCAGGTCATGACCTTCTTGCTCTATCATTGCTTGGCAGAAGGTGGAAGGGCAGAAACAGATATCAAATGGGAAGACAGCTTTTCGTGTAAGAAGGAGCTTATTCTGTAACTACTCTCTCAACCCACGCCTCAGGGCTGAGCTCTCTTGACTTAATCATCTACTGAAATGTTCCCCTCCCCCCTGGTGTCACTATGGGGATCAAATGCTCAGCACACGTACTTAGAGGGACACAGTCAAACCGTAGCCTATGCTAACACAGAATAGATGAATTCTAGTGTGTTCATTCTAGGTCAGTGAAGCTGTGCTGGCAATCAACCTCATGATCGGAAAGAAGAATGCCAGGACTGACAAAGTCAACCACATGGTGTTGCCAAACATTCCAGAGTTTGCCATCGTGGATCTTTTCTCTTCGTATACAGATTATTTACTCGGTATGTTTGGATGGCTACAGAGTCTTCTCTGTGTAACATGCAACCAACTCTAAGACTTCAATGTTATGGTTCATTGACCTTTTGCTTTGAGGAGATGATGGTTTGTGGAGTCTCCAGGATCCCAGGGCCAGTTGCCAAAATAGGGTATACTCAGTTCTCTACCTGAGCATACATGTTACTCAGCTGGCTGCTGTGTGTCAGGGCCCTGGGGATGGCATGACCTTATGTTGTTTGTCTTAACATATATGTGTGTCAGAAGTTAACCTTTTGTTTGAGGGAGTTTCTGTGATCCTCTGGCCCAAAACATTCACCAACTTATACTTTCCAAGGACTCTCTAGTCTTCATTAGTATTTCACATTTGTGTGTCTGAGTGTGTGCATTTAAGTGTGTCATCCATTCATTAAGAGCAGGATCTGCACTTTTTTATTTTATCTACAAGAGAGCACACCATCACTTGCACACCCTAGGCATTCAATCTATGAAATGAACTGATGAACGCCAGGTGAATAGAGTTTAAGATTGACTTTACTGCCGTCTTTTATCTGTGGTGGACGCAACAGGAATGTACTTAACATTCATTTTTGCATTTTTTCATCCACTTGTCCAAAATGTTTAGTGAATGTTTCTGATATTCTAAGCCCTGAAACAGGTGCCAAACAAGGAGTGAGGGGGCGCTGAATGTTTCAGTGAGACTGATGTCTGTGTTATTGGTTTGTTTGGTTTTTGGTGTGAATGAAACTCCCTTGAATCCAACCAGGTGGCAGTGGCCCCCCTCACAGCCCTGGGGACCAGCCTTCTCTGCTGAAGGGTCACTTTTCAGAGATGCTCTCGCATCTCACGTCATTGTCCTTCAAGATCCTTGTATATGATTCAGTGGCCAAGACTTTCTGGCGTAACAATGTTTTTCTGGAGGTCACATGTTGATTCGAGAGCTTTCTTTATTGAAACTTTATTCTTAAACCTTTATTGATCTCATGCCTGGTTCAAGTTTGCTATCTCGGGCTTCTGGGTCATTACCCACACCTGTATCTGGGCTCTCCCATCTCCTTGGCATCATAAGATGAATTCACTAGAGACAATGCCTCTGGCCCTGCCAGAGAAGTTTAACAACCTGAAACTGGTCATATTTCTCATGCTTTCAGAGATGAGATCTTCTGAGATCTTCTTCTATCATATTAATTTTGGGTGATGGGTCTACTTTATTCTACTCCTTTCTGTGTGGTGTTCACTTTTAGGGATAACATATTAGGCTCATCTAAGATGGCCCGAGCATCCCTCAGGGACTCACAGCTAAGAACATCTTTATTCTTCTCCCGTGCTCTGCTATGGGCTGCAGATGGGGCTTGGACCTGCTCCGTGAGCATCTGCTATGTGCTCCAGCCTGCAGAGTGCTCATGGCTGCCCACAGCCTGCTCCACTCAGCAGATTACCAGGGCAAGAGCCAGAGGTCAGATCACACAGGCTTCCGAAGGCCTCTCTTACCAACTTATCCTACTGCTCATAGCCGTGCTCAGTGTGAGCAGGGCAGGGACATGTGCTCTGCCTGCAGATGGGTGAGATGTCTGTGAATGTTCACTGGATAACCATCTACACTAATACTCACCAAGGGCAGTCAGTGTCTAGAGGTTCCTGAGAAGAATCATGAGCGTCTGTACAGAAAGACAGGGAGAGTTGTTGCCATGGATGCACAATGGAGGACGGTATTCTCTCAACCAACCGATATCAGTTGGTCCAGTTGAGCCATTTTCATCTTCGCTTAATTGGGATTTCGTTGTTGCTGTTCTGTGTGGACAGCTTTCCTAGCGCACATTCTGCTTTCTTTGGTTTCTGCTTTAGACCGTTAACACTTCTTTACTTTTTTAACCATGAAATTGCTCGGTTGTAAAGTCTAATCTGTTTTTCATTTTACCTTGCACACAGAATATTAATCTTGCCCTGCAGTCTTTTCCTGGCAGGCTGATAATTAATGCATGCTGATGACTTCGCTCATTTCTGTGTTTGGGTTGGAAGGAAGTTCTGAATTCCCACCTGATTCCCACAAATACACAGATGGCCATGAAGTTCATATTAAAATGACTTGCTAAAGGGAAAAATCTCTCAACAACAACAAATAAAACTTGTTTGATTTCCTCCTCATTAGCATAAATTAGCATCCAGAAGAGGAACCTCAGTAATCTAGCTTTAAACAATATTAGTATTCATCTACGCATGAGGGGGTGAGCGATAGTCATCGTTTTATGCGCAGAGAGCAGTGCCCTATATTTCTTCCCCCCTCCCTTCCTCCCCACTCCTTTGTGGTGCTATTGATGGAATCTGGAGTCTTAAGCTTGCTAAGTATCTGTCTCAGCACTGAGCTGCACCCCAAGTCCTGCACAGATGCTTATATCTCCCAGAGGAGTCACGGAACAAACAGCAGGGAGGCAGGGCTTCCCTTCCATGGGCCTCTAGCCATGGGCAGTTAGAACAGGCATAGACATTGACATATACAAATCTTTTAGAAAACCATACTCATGAAGTAGGGTTAATTCATCAGAAGCTAACTGGATGTCTTTGTGGAAAGTTGGGAACGATCAGGATGGTGTAAGAGTTTGCTGGGAGCCTTCCTTTATCCTGGGAGCGGTGTATTATAGGACAGATGTAAACCAGTACCAGATGGAAAGGGAATCAGATGTTCTTGACAAAGCAATCCAAGACCTGAACTGTAATGACAGAACAGCTACCTGTGGAAGCTGGGCTCCAGAATCCCTTGCCAGGACCCGAGAGTAATTATAGGCATTCATAGGACATTGAAAAATCCCAGCAGAATGCTTGGTCTTCTTGGTTGAATATTCTGCGCATTGTCTTGTTGACCCTACAGTGATGGTACTGGCGATGGGGAACCATGTTTAGATTCAGCCTGAGAATACTTCTTAGATGCTGACTTTGCGGTTATGTTCAAATATACACAATCTTCTAGCCTTGATTTTCTCGTGACCTTGATATTAATTTGACAGGGATAAAACATATTAAATTCTCTAAGACACTTTAAATTAAAAATACCATTTTGGATTAGTGGTCCCAGATTCAGCCTCTCACAACTAAATACACATGAGACACAGAAAGCTACACATGCAGGCCAGGTTGATGAACTCGCTGTCAAGACTGCAGAGACAAGTGGAGCATAGCTGAGAACGCTGTTGGTGTTTAGCATGTGCTTTCCCCCCAAACACAGCTGATCTTCCTGCCGGAAGGAGTGGGACTTGTGCTTCCCTTCCTTCCTTGGTATTTGTTCAGAGATGAAGTCAACACCCACTGAACACAGGGACTCCGTTTCTCTATAGCTGTCTCATTCTCTTGCTCCTCCATGGCACAGTTAGTAGCAGGGAAGTGAAGTGATGCATTTTGTACTCAAATCCCAGACAGTTAGATCACTTACCTGCAGGACAGACCGAAATCTACCTGTGCTAGAATAGAGGAGGGATTTGCGTGCATGTGCATGCGTGTGTGCGCGTGTCCATCTGTGTACTGTTTCACTAGAAACAATTACCGAGGCATGATGAGAATGAATTCCAGTGAAGGAGAGCTGTCCTGGTCCAGTATCTACAAAAGCCCAGAGCTTCTACTGAAGAGATAGCTCATTGATCACTTAAATTTGAGAAGGGCCCTGGATAGATGTCTTAGTGCTTGAGGAGATTACTTTACACGTGTGAGACCCAGTGAGTGGGTTCCCAACACCCACGTAAACACTGGGTGCCTGTGGTGACCCACTTGAAATCCCAGGACTTTGGAAGGAGATATGGGATCTTCAGGTAAAGCTCGATTGATAGACTGGCCAAATCAGCAAGTACTGAGTTCAACAAGAAGCTCTGTCTCAGTAAATAAAATGGCCATCGACTAAAGGAGATATCCAACATCCACCTTTGTCTTCCGCCAATATCTACCTTTATCTTGGCACACAGATGTGCACCTGTGAACATCCATATACATGCACACACGCTTGAAAAAAGCCAAGAGGAGACAGTGCCATCAATTGTCAATGTGATCGGTTTTTAGGTAAGAAGTATTATACTGAGTAGAGTCACACTGCAAAACAAGAAGCAAGATGATGCATGGGAAATGGCAATGGGATGCCATCTTCCTGAAGATGGACATGAAGAGGTGCCTGTCAGAGACCCAAAGGAGACAGAGTTATATACCCTTAGTAGGGCCTTCACAGCCAGGGACTGACAACAGCAGAAGCCCAAAGGCTGGATTACTAGCTGATAACTATAGGTCATCTATCTATCCTCTAGGATTAATCCAGGGAGAGCATCAGTTATGCTCATCTTTACAAATGAGACGAGATGCCGAAGTCATGAAACTCAGCCATCTTCCTCTCTTAGTTCAGCCCCTTGTTTACCCAGCTCTGGGAAGTACGGCTAAGCATCATGTCAGACATGAGAAGACACTCAACAGGACTCAGTACAGAGCTGGTGTTCGTTTAGAGTCAGTCTATCCAAGGGCTTTAACTGATTTGAAAACTCCTTCTGCCCATTCTAACTCAAAAGCATAGAGCAATTCTGCCAAGAAGTGAACAGAATTTGTTTTCATTCCTGGCTGAGCTTGACAGCAGAAAACCACAACCTTGTTCTCAAAGTAAAATGGAGTATTTTTTAGCAGGGGTAGCCAGACAGTCTTGCTGGAGTGGTTAGAATCTGGTCCTAGGCTGGGCGGTGGTGGCGCATGCCTTTAATCCCAGCACTTGGGAGGCAGAGGCAGGCGGATCTCTTTGAGTTCAAGGCCAGCCTGGTCTATAAGAGCTAGTTCCAGGACAGGAACCAAAAAAGCTATGGAGAAACCCTGTCTCGGAAAAAAAAAAAAAAAAAAACCAGATCTGTTCCTAGTGGTGGGGCTAGGATTTTGCTGTCTGCTCACAGGGAGAGAAAACAACCTAGCCAATGGCATGGAGTTGGAGTTCATAATAGTTTAGTCCTTGAGCTGGGCTTTAGAAATATCCTGCCTACTGGCGAGAGCAGAAGCA